TGCAGCCCCTGTCCACCCACAGCTCAGGTGTCACCTAGATGCAGAGTTACTATTCTGCAGGGATTGGGGAAACAGACCAAAGAGCCCCAAGGCTGCTGGGCCAAGGAGCACCAAGTAAGTCCTCTGTCTGTGTCACCCCTGGGTTCCTTGCAGCTGGCCTGGGGTCCAAGAGATCTGAGTCCCTTGCTATATCCCCTAAAGCAAAAAAAACAAAAAAACAAAAACAAAAGGCAGGAAAGTAGATACTAAGATCTTCCCAGTTTCCATGTGAGGTCTAGCAGCCTGTTCTGCTGGGTTCTCTGGATGGTTGAAGGGTGGAGGGGAAGGAGCTGCCTCCAGCAGGGCCTGGAATGACAGGACCCCAAGAAAGGGGGCAGGCAGCAGAGCAGACAAGTCCCATCTGGTTTGCAGGTCACTGAGCTCCTCCCTGGGGATTGGAGGGGAGGTAATGCCCCTAATGCCTGGCTCTTCTTAAAAGGATTGGCTAAATTTACAGCTGCTAAAGCCATTTGTCACTGAGCTGTTGGAAGATGATGCAGCGATTGCTGGGAGGCTGGGCTTACTGTCTCTGGGCCTGGTCGCTCCCGGATGTGGGCTTCCCTTTTCCTCCAGATTTGTGCCCCTCAGGGCACTGTGAACCTCCGGGTGGAAGGCAGACAGACACCTACACTTTGTGCTGACTTTCTAAGAAGGCCACCCAGCAGCGAGAGGGTGGTTGTGTGGGTCTTCTGGCCATAAAATAGGCAGCCATGCAGCGGGGCTGAAGTAGCAGCATGGAGTGTGAAAGCTGCAGTACAGGGGTAATGTGCCTCAGGCCACTCCATGAGGTCCTTTAGTGCCAGGAGAGAGTGGTCTTCCCTTTCTCAAATAGCCATAGATGTGCTCAAGCCCTCTGCCCTAACCACAGGCAAAGGAGCCGCAGCTGTTCTGCAGCCTGGCCTCCTGAGCCCTCTGTAGCTGTGCCCATTCTTCAACCTTCCCTCACCTCCCCCCAGCCTCAGGGTGGCTGCCCCTTTGCCACCCTTCACAGCAAAGTGCAGTGCAGTCTCGACACTTTTTCTATTCCTGCTGCTGGCATTTTTGTTCCTCCCCATCCATCACCTGGCAGGGAGTGGGGGCAGGGTGGGACCCAGGGGACAGCTGCAGGATCAAGTTCCTGGGATCTGCTTCCCAGTGGGTGCTCTGCATCCTGGGGGGCAGCAGTCAGAGATATCGCCGATCCCTTTCCACTCTTTCTCCTGTCTTTTAATTTCTTCCTCCAGTCCCAGACTTCGTGCTCACTTTCACGGATCTTAACAGAAGCCCCTCCTCTGCCCAGCTGTTGGGGATTTCCCCTCCTGTCTTACTGTGACCAAGTCACAGAGGCAGGGGAGATGGACAGAACTCAGGCAGGAAGGCAGCAGAACCAGCCCTGGGGTGAGCATGCTTCCTCAGAGCCCCTGCCAGCCTGAGAAAGTGCTGCTCTGTTCCTTGTCACCCTTCTTGCCTTGGAAATGTGGGGCAATGTGTAGGTATACACCCCCAAAGACGTGAACACAGCGATGCAGTTATTTGCACACCCACGTTCATAGTAGCAGGCTCATAATAGCCAGATATGGAAATGCCACAATTGCCAGTTATGGATGAATGGATGGCTAGACTACTGGTAAATACATACAATGCATTTTTGAAATACAGTGTCTGCCTATTAGCCACAAAGTGCAGAGATTCTGGCATACGCTGTAGCATAGATGAACTTTGAATGCATTGTGCTAAAGGAGATAAACCAATTACAAAAAGATAAATATTATATGACTCCTTTTCAACAAAGTACCCAGAATAGACAAATTCATGGAGATGAAAGGAAGACAGTGATTACCAGGGCCTGGTCAAGGGTGCTGAGGGGTGAGTGGGCAGTGGGCACAGAGCTTCTTTTTGGGATGAGGAAAAAGTTCTGGAAGTAGGTATGTACTTAAAGCCACTGAATTGTATACCTAAAATATTTTAAATGGCCATGCATATTTTAACACACACAAAAAAAAGTCAGTGGGTTTGGGGAGTGGCCCATAAATGCCAGGTGGACCTGCAGTCTGAGAGCTGTAGATAGGACCTGCCTGGCACTTTTCTTCCTGCTTCTTCTTATTCTTCTGTGGCCAGGATCCACCCTGGATCCTGGGTGCCCTGACATTCCCCACCCCACTGAAGGAGGACCTGGGCTCCCTGGCAGGGACCATTGTAGAATGTAGAAGATGGAGTCGCCCAGGAACTGAACTCCCCGGGAGAGAGGGGAGGGAGGGGCAAGTGAGGGTGCCCTGGGTCTGGTCACCACCATGCATAACTGGGGCTCAACCCGTTTTGACCTGCTGAAGGACCACGTAGAAAGTGCCTCAGACTATCTCAGCTAATCTGGAGGCAGAGGCTGGAGGATGGTCAGTTGGAGACCAGCCCAGGCAAAGTTAGCAAGACTCCATCTCAAAAACAAAATACAAAACAAAAAGGGCTGAGCAATCTCCATGACTGAAAAAAATAAAACAAAGTGAACAAACAAAACTGGGGAGTGTGATGGGACAGCACTGGCTGGGGTGGGAGAGGCTGAGACCAAGAGGATAGGCGGGTGCAAGGACCATCCAAGACAGGGGTCCATGGAGAAGCCCTCTTTTTTCCCTCTGGGCACCAAACTTCTGCAGAGTCAGGATGAGTCTCATGCTTGCCCCTTCCTCAGTGAGCCTGTGTGTGGGTTTGGGGTTTTGCCATACTCAGGTTCCTTCATACAACTATAGTGTGGCCAGTGGGACTCATCCATGGCTGGGAGAGCCCAGCAGAGAGGACCAGAGGCTGCTGCTGCAGACAGAGCCCAGCATGTGATCCTCCTGGAAAAAAACTCTATGTTGAGTTCCTGCAAAACCCTATTCTCAGACTGTACCTGTTAGGTGTGCCAGGAAGCCCTGGATAAAATCTGAAGCCTTCGAGGAATAGTGGGCATGGCCTTAGATACTGGCTGTGCCAGCAGGCAGCAACTTTTCACATTAATCTTATCATTCCTGTCCAGCTCTGGCTACCTGCATGGGACCAGGCACTGAGCCTGTTTAGGATGGGGCCCTCCTAAGCCTGTACCCAGTTGGGGAGTAAGAAGCACACACACACACACAGCACATGAAAAGTTCACAACTTACCGGAATGACAGTGGGGGACAGAGAACTAGGAGGTGTCCTGCTGCCAGGAGGTGGGAGAGAGAAGAAGCAGTGGAATGACCTGCTTACCTGGAGTCCTGCTGTGTGACCTTGCACATGTTTCTTAACCTCTCTGAACTCCATTTTCCTCTTTTAAGTAGCGTCATTACACCACTTTCATAGGGTTGTTGTGAGGGTGAAGTGCATATCAAGTGCTGAGAAGGGTGCCTGGCATGTGATGCTGGTTTGTGGTATGGTATTCATAGCTATCACCATGGCTGGGTGAATCCTCTGGCTGCTAGCCTGGCAGTAAGCCAGGGGATTGGACTGGCTGCCAGTTGGCCTTTCAGGCACTGCTCTGGCATTCCATTAGTATAAGGGTCTCTAGGTTTGGAAAGTAGGGAAAGGGGGCAGTGCCAGGGTCAGGGGAGGGGCCCATGAGCATAATCAGAGGGGCAGGCGAGAGCTTTCTACTGCGGTATATCCAGTCACTACCTTAGCAGCGCACCAGCGGCTTGCAGTAGTACCTATTTCTTGCTTCATAGTGCAGTAGGTCAGGAGCCCAGCACCAGAGAGTTGCCTCTCCCCATCACCAGCACTGTCCGAGGATGGGGAGTCTACATTCATGGTCTCAGCAGAGTTCCTGGGCCCTGTCATGGATTCATTATGGTTAACACTCCACCAGCCTTTGAGGATTAGTAAATAACAGCGTCCAAAAGTGTACCCAGAAATCCAAAGTCTTGACATCCAAATGCTCCCTTCATGCACCAGGATCTTGGCTCTCTTACACTACATACCATCAGGCAGCCCGTGAGTTCTCTGTGCCCTGTGCATCCAGTATTCAGGTCTTCTTTGTGGTTTTGCTTGGTAGAAGACCTTTCAACTAGCTGTGTTGATGAAACGCACTCCATCTCTGCTTCTTCCTGCTGAGTGGGCCTTCCTTGGAGGTCACAGGTCTCCAGATGCTAAAAAGGGTGCAAGACAAGCTTTAAAACACTTTTCCAGTAGCCTTTGAGCCTGTGCAAGAAAGGAGAGGGTCCCTGCCTGGAAGGGGCTGTGTTCTGGCTCCCCACACTCTCTGGTACTTCAGGGGATAAGGGATGACAGCAATGGCAGTCCCAGCAGACTTGGGGCTGGGTTGGGAGGGATGTCAGTTTTGTTGGAGGGCTTTAGAGCATATCCCAGGAACAGCTGGTCACATCTGCCAGGCAAGCTCAAGAGGGGGTCAGAGGGTTGTCGGGCAGTCGTGGCCAGGCAGAGTGTAACCCACACAGACAACCCACTAAGCCTTTCTCGTTGTGTCAGTGAAAGTTAGGCTGGTTCCTGCAGACTGACCTGGCTTGTGTCCAGAAGGGACATGACAGCAAAATTGTGCTTATTACCTGAGGCCTATAGGCTTCAGCTAATTTAGGAGACAGTCTGGTGACCAGAGAGAAAAGATCTCTGTAGATTTTCTTGGAGGGGGTCAGGCCCCTCAGAGATTTGTGTTGGAGCCCCTCTATCTCCAAATTCTTGAGTCAAGGACTAGTTTGGGGCTTGGGTGCTGGTTTGGGTTTATTTTCTGCTCTCTGTACGCAATAGATCTGGGCATGCACCCACCGGAGCACTGCACAAGTCACCGCACTGGCCAATTAGGCAAGTCACCTGCCTTTTCTGGCCTCAGTTTCTCTCCCCACACAATGGGGAGGAACTCAATGTATTCTTTATGCTCAGGGTCAGCCAGTATCCCATCAACTTTTCTGGCAGTTGGGAGACCAGAATGCTTCCAGGAGTGGAAAGTTCTCCCTGAGTTGGGCATCATCCAGCTTGCAGCAGCACCTCACAGGGCCTGTCTGTCCTCTTTTCTCCCAGCACGCCCAGGCCCCTGATCTGGAGGGATGGAGAACTCCTCGGCCGCCTCAGCCTCCTCCGAGGCAGGGAGCAGTCGCTCCCAGGAGATCGAGGAGCTGGAGCGTTTCATTGACAGCTACGTGCTGGAGTACCAGGTGCAGGGGCTGCTGGCCGACAAGACGGAGGGCGATGGCGAGAGTCAGAGAACACAGTCTCATATCTCCCAGGTGAGCACTGGCCCAGGGCTGGGGTCTTGGTGAACTCAAAGCTGACACCAGGGAACTCACCAGCAATGTCTGGTCACCTAGCTGTAGACTGCTAAGATGTGATGTCCTCACCTGGCACAGCATCCAGAATCGTGCATCAGAAGCTCTGGCATCCAGACAGGAAGCAACCACCACATGCATGCTCAACCCCTCAAACCCACCCCTACTCTTTCTGATACGGACAGAGGAGGCCCAGGCACACTCACGAGTCTTTGAACATGCATTTATTGAACACTTTCTACGTGGTAGGCACTGTTCCCCTCTCCTCTACAAGCTTACTCTCAAAAAGCTTAGGAGACAATAGCTCATCCATGAGGGACCCCATCAGAGAGTGGTGACGTGTGAACATTTTCTCTGGATTCCAATGCAGGCAGTTGTTGGTAGCCTGAGAAACAGTCACCCATGCTGCTCCCTCAGGGCTCCACATGCCTGTGCATGGGGCATTCAACCATCACCTCAGGCTGGTCTCCCCGTCCTGTATCTTTGATGGGAGCCCTGGCCCTTGATGGGAGGTGACCTTAGCTGGAAAACTGTGGGTACAATGAGGACGTCTTGAGCTCTCCCAAATAAAGTATTAATGCATGTAACGTGTTTTTTCCTAACACCTTAAATCACTGGTAGATATTTTCAAAAGTTGGTTCCAGATTTGCTTCTAGCTGCTTGTGTGACCATGGGCAGAGCCCCCAATGTCAGAAACTCCATTTTCTAATCCTGCTGATTCAGGAGTACTGGAAGGTCAAGGAGGTCAAGGGGTAGAGAAGATACAGAAGCAGGTGCTGCCTGCACAGGAGGCAGAGAAGGACCTCATCTCCTGTCCAGAGTCAGCGTCCCAGGGCCCCCTCTTTTATTTGCCCCACCTCAATTCTGGAACTCCTGATGAGCAGAGGGCAAGCTGCATGGGAGGCCCGCTGTGGAAAGAAGCCAAAGCAATCACCTGGTTCCCTCCCAGGTGGGGAGAAAACCCAGTCCTGCAGCTTTTTAGGAAATCAGAATGACCTATAACTTTCCTGGAGCTCAGAACAGGAGTTGGTCTGGGAAATCCTGAAGCCACAGTGGTCCCCTGCTCCAACCCTGCTGGAGAGCAGGGGATAGAAAATAACCTTATTGGAGAGACAGAAGTAGAGGTGATGCTTTCCTAGTGTCTTTGACATTCTGAAATCACAAGAATGTCAACCTGTAATTTGCTCATGACCCAGTCCTCAGGGGTGTGTGGAGTACCCAACCTGCACCAGATGCTGCTCTCGTGCCCAGTATCTGGGAGTGAATGGAACTGGCGACTCTGCCCTCGGGTAACCTGTGTTCCGATGGTGGGTGATCATTACAATAGAGAAATTAAAACTAGGAAATGGAAGGGGATGGCAATGAGATGCTAGGGGATCGTGCCTCTCAAGGAGGGGAAAGGGTAGGCCATGCAGATGGTAGGGAAACCTACCATCCAAGGGTTAGGCTGGAGGAGAGGCGAGGCCCAGCCAGGAGGCTAGAGTGCTGGAGCAGAGGAAGAGGAAGAGCTGGGTCTATGAGGTAGAGAGGAGGGTGTCATGTGGACAGGAGGAGCAGGACTGAGCGCTGGGGTCACTGATACCTAGAAAGAAAGGTTGTGAGGAGGACCCAGCCAGAGAGCCCAGGGAGGCTGAGAGGAAGCAAGCCAGCACTATCATGATTTGGAATGGAAGAGGAAGTAGGGCAGGATGGGCTGGAAAATTGTTATCTTTGGGTTGTCCTAGACAAGAGGGAAGAAAGCAGTGATTTTGTTGTTGCTATTGGTACCAGAGCTTGAAATCTGAACCTTGTGCTTGCTAGACAGGCACTCTACCACTTATGTCATGTTCCCAGTCCTTTTTCCTTTTTTTTTACTGGGGCTTGAACTCAGGGCCTACACCTTGAGCTGCTCCACCAGTCCTTTTTTTGTGAAGGGTTTTTTGACATAGGGTCTTGCAAACTATTTGCCCAGGCTGACTTCAAACCACAATCCTCCTGATCTCTGCCTCCTGAGTAGCTAGGATTACAGGCATGAGCCACCAATGCCCAGCCCTCCCAACCCTTTTTGACTTGGTTATCTTTTCAAATAGGACCTTGTGTTTATGCTGGGTGGGTCTATATCACCATCCTCCTATTTAAACTTCCCACATAGCTGGGATGACATATGCACACCACCACACTCAGCTTTTTAATTGTTGAAATGGGGGTGGGGAGGGGTCTCACAGTTTTTTGCCTGAGTTGGCCTGGAACTTCCATCCTCCTGATCTCCACCTTCTTACTAGCTAGGATTACAGGTGTGAGCCACCACACACAGCACATGTGAATAATTCTTGCAGTCCCCCTGGAAGCATGCAAAGTTGGTGTCCCTGGGAGCAGGCTCTGTGGACAACCCCTGGAGCTAGTATGGCACTTGGTGGCAAGTACTACCTGCCTCTTCCACCTTGTAGAACCCAGGACCACAGCAGGGCATCCTTGGAAGTTCCTCCAGCTGAAATATGCTCTTGCAAGAGGAAGATCCAAGGAAGCCTGAAGCTTTACCTAAAGGAAAACTTTGCCAATGGTAGAATTTCTCTTCTCAGGGCAACCATCAGAAGACTGGAAGATGGGGGCATCGCTGGCATCTCTGATCTGCCTGGGGGACTGCTAAGTTCCCAGAGGGTAGAGTGGGTAGTGAAATGCCTACAGCTTTACCCCGCACTTCTCCGTCCTGCTCCTGGGATGAGGGGGTCTGACTCATGCTCAGATGCCCAGATCAGGGAAGCAGGCAAGGCGGGCCTCTCGAAGGGCTTTAACTGAATATTAGTTGTGAGGCAAGAATATGGGGAACACAGCCCTTGAAATAGCAGGGTACAGTCATTGAACTTTCTGCATCCTCTGAAGTTCCAAGGGAGAATGCAGACACGTGCCAGGATTCCATGCTGCTGGGAGAGGAGGTCATGTCAGCCCTGTTCCCACCAAGCTCACAAATACACCTGGGCACAGATTCCAGAGGACAGACAGCTGTGGCCAACTCCACTCAAGGCCAGGGTTAGACGTGTCTACCTCAGACATGTCATTTAAAAGAAAACACACACACACACACATACACAGTCTCTATTGACACAGCTTTATGGGAAATAGTTCTGCTAAAGAACTTTGCTTGTTTTTATTTAATCTGATGACTATTTTAAATGGAAGCCAAAAAACCACATAAGGAATGTTCCTGTCTGCCTGTCTGTGGTGGTGTTTTGATGTTTCTGGGAGAGGAAAATTGTTAAGAATTTTGGAAAACCTTGAGAATTCTTGAGGGAGTGGAGCAGAATGTTGCTCTTCAGTTGGTGAGGTCATTTTTTTAGCATCTGAGAGATAACAGTAGACACTTAGGAAGAAAATGCCTCATGACACTTGTGCAGTTGTGTTCCTTTGTCCCTGTCCCAGCCACAACTGAGAAGAAAAAGTGGATATTGGGTGGGTAGGTGATGAATAGATGTATAAGGGGGATGGATGCATGGATGGGTGGATGGGTGGATGGATAGATAGTTAGATAGATAGAGTAATTTTTCATCACTATGACAAAAGGATGAGATATTTACCTTGGCTCACTGTTTCAAAGGTTTTTTCCATGATTAGCTAACTTCTCTGTGTCTGTGATGCAACAAAGCATCATGGCAGACAGGACATGGCAGAGCAAACAGGAGAGAGAGAGAGAGAGAGAGAGAGAGAGGCCAGAGACAAGATATGCTCTTCAATGTTATATCCAAGCAGCCCACTTCCTCTGATCAGTGTCCAGCACCTCCCAATGGTCCATTCAACTATAATCCATTAATGGATTAATCCATTGATTAGGCCAGCACCCTCATGATTCAATTACTTCCCCCAAAGTCTTATCTCTAAATATTGATTGGGGACCAAGCCTTCAATACATGAGCCTTTGGAAGATATTTCATACCCAAACCATAATGGATAGATAAATGGATAGATAGATAGATAGATAGATAGATAGATAGATAGATAGAGTAAGCTTCCCTTAGATGATTAGGTTTGAAGTTTCCTAGTTCTTCCCTAGTACCATATTTTAAACTTTGCCTTTTTTTCCCACATGTTAGGATTATCTGCTCTTTGATGGATTCCAAGTCCCCAAAGTCACATCCTGAAAGTTGTCCTTGCTCCATCCTTAGGAAGAAAGGAAATTATAGCTCTGGTCTGCAGGAGGGAAACTGAGGCACAGAAATGGGGGCCAAACCACCTTGCTTGGTGATATTGAGTAGACCCTGAGCCCCTCCCCACACCACCTACTTCTGGCTTCTTACTGGCTAAGAGCTGTGACTTATAGGGTGTTGGGCAGTTAATACTTTTTTCCTATAGAAAGAGAATTAGGACTCCAAATCTCATTAACAGTTGACCCTTGGTGGAAGAGATTGTTATGGTGGGGACATTTGGCACTTCTGATGTTAGTGGGTGACTTGGTAAATCATCAGAAAACTGCAGAGCAGTATTGGCAACTGACTAAACACTCCAGAGCTTTTCAAAGCACTCCAGAGCTTTGAAAAGCACTGAGGTCTAGGTGCCTCCCAAGACATTCAGTTGAATGGGGAGGAGCCTGGGCACTGACATATTTATGAGCATCCTGGGACTCTGATGTCCTGCTGGGATTGACACCCCAGGTGGTGACATCCCAGCTGCCTCCTTTCACCCAGGCCAGTTGCCTACTGCTGCAGTCTCTTGAAAGGACAGAATGTGGGGACATGGTGAAGGACAGATACAGCTATTGATGGTGCAGTTTCAATACATTCTTCTTAATGGGTCAGATTAAGAGCCACCAAGGGTAAAGATAGTTTCCCACAGTCCTTTTCAGGCATATGGAAGTCCTGGGTTTTGTCTAAATCACAAAGTGCTATTTAAGAGAGGATGTGGCAATACAGATGTTTGGGAGGGAGAGGAGCATTCAGCTCTGCTTTCTGTCTCCTTCTAACATGTTTTCCTTCGCTTTCCCTTCATGCTTC